AGTGGAAGGTGAATTGCATTGACCAAATGACCACTTCTCCTTTTTCCATACGATTTGTCTTCACACAGGCCAAGAGCCGTTTCTTCAATACACCATCCTTCAGCAGATTAGAAAACAAATGTTTATTATTGAGGGGTTATTTTATCCTGCTCAGAAGGAAAGGTTCAAGTGCTTTGTAATTTTACTCTTCTCGGTCTTTCACTGTTCCCCACATCATGCCCATGCTCAAGAGCACTGGGTGGCTGATAACAGTTTAGAAGTTCTATACTTTCCCCCATTCTCCACACCATACCTGTGTAGGCTCAATCCACTTTCGTATTTCATTTCATCCCATAACATTCATTACTCGAGGTGGATCCCCTGGAGCCTATCTTCAGACAGAAGGATTTCTACCTAGGGATGGGCATGAACTGAGAAATGAACCATGGTTCGAGCTCAAACCAGGTCAGTTTGTGGTTCATTTTGAACCAGTTTGTTTGGTTGCATTGTTCCTGAATCCAAAAATGAACCACCTTTTTCCCATGGAGCTTCATTTGCTTCATTACAGCAGCTCATTCTCGAGACATCCTGGTGCCAATTCAATCAATTCCTAGGCAACACTTCAGGTAGACTTGTGGAGAGCCCTAGAAACACCCATAGCAGTTGTCCGTAGCTTGACTGGCAGCTTTGGGAGCCAACCACGAAGCTCCCATTCTGCTCTATAGGAGCAGATCATACATGTATACCCCACACTAACTCAGCTGCTTTCACTATGCAGCAGGAAGAGAGTTGTCATATGAGAGCGATTTAGGAAGAATTGCTTGCTGTGTGGCTGATTTAAGGGGAGGCTAGAGCTGAACTTTTTGGGGGGCACCTGCTTTGGTGGGCTATAATGCAGACATTTATTTATTTATTTATTACTTTCAATTTATATCCTGCCTTGCCGGGCGAACTCCAAATCCAATCTTTGTGAAACTTGGAGGGTGGGTGGAGGAGAGCCTGCTGAAAACGTTTTTTGAGTTTGGCATCTCTAACTTCCAAGGGGGCTGTTCTACCACCTCCCAAACTCATGAACCAACTGAACCATGAACCAGTTTGGTAAATAGGAAAAGTTCATGAAAGTTCATGGGTTGTGTAATCAAACAAACTGAACCACCATAGACCACCATTTTGTGGTTTGTGCCCATCCCTAATTTCTACCTACCTGCTACCTACCTGGGGTCCCTTGTCCCTCCAGGAGCAAAATGTCTTAGGGGGCCTTTAGGGTTGCAATCCAATGGGTATGGTGACAAAAGGTAGAAATCGTTCCATCCAAGGCAAACACTACGCAAGATCTTCACCATTGTCCTCTGCCTCACATCAGGTGGATTCCATTCTCCCCTTGCAAGTCATACATCATCATATTTGCAGCTCTCAATAATGGTTGTAACTTCTAACCCTTGCCATCCACTCCTACTTCCTTACCTTCACTGTAGAGAGGTATCTCCTTACCAAGCCTCCAGCAATCACCCTCACCATAGTGTGTGGCTGTCCTAAATGTCATTCCTGATCATGCAAATGTGTGTGTGTGTGTATTTGTGTTTGTGTGTGTGTAAAGTGCCATCAAGTTGCAGTTGACTTATGTTGACCCAGCAAGGATCTCTCAAGGCAAGTGAGAAGCAGAGGTGGTTTGCTGTTGCCTTCCTCTGCAGTCTTCCTTGGAGGTATCCCATCCAAGGACTAACCAAGGCTGACCCTGCTTAGCTTCCAAGATCTGACAAGATCAGGCTATACCATGCCACCTTCTCTCCCAATCATGCACATATATATGTATAAGTGGGATCAGAGATAATTTTCCATGACCACTATGAGTGGCATGTAGTGGCAGCAAAATCAATTGTTTGAATGTCCTAGTACAAAGAGAACAGTAATACAAGAAATATAAGGAAACTGGCAGAATTAGGATTTTTATATTACTGCCTTTTTAGAAGAGATATACATTGAGAAAATGAACAAGATCCAACCCTAATAATGTTCATTCTTTAATATACAATTTCCATCATTCAGGAATTGTGGGAAAGACTGCATTTTGTCAGGCACCCCACACTGCTTTGGGTTACCCAAGCAATGGGAAGGGCAGCAAGGGGAGAGAATCCAAACAGGTGTCTTGATGCCACTGGTGAAGCCAAATTCAGATTTTTTTTTTAAACTACTAAACAACCAAACTTACATATATACATTTTTTAACATCCCTACTTTTTATCCTCATTAAAAATTATCATCTTCAGGGTTCTGAAGCCAGGAGTTTTAAACTAGATTAAAGTGGGCTGAAATGTGTAACTAGATGTGTCAAATAAGAGATAATAGCCATAAGATTTCTAGCAGAAATTCAGGGTTTTAAAAATATATATATCCAAGAGATAAAGTAGTTCAAGGAAATGTGAGATATGACTAGAATAAAAAGCAGGACATGAGGATCCAGTGGATGGTGGGAACATAGGCCATAGGGCACTGTACATGTAAAGGAAAGGAGGTAGACAGGAAAAGAAGGTTTGCAGGACACAGCACTGTTGGTTAGGGAGCAAAGGATGTGCACGGTAGCTACATCTAGAGTCTAAATTCTGATAAGCCTTCTGTGCCAAGAGATCAAGGAGGGCCATGAGTAGAAAAATAGCTTCGGGAAAGAAATAGTCAATTCCATGGTTGCAGTCTTATAGTCTATTCTACATTGACAGTGCACTTTGAAAGCTTGTCTTCCTATTGTCTTCTTCATTCCATATAAATGGTAGTTATAATAGGTTCTTAGATTAAACAGTTCTTTAAAAAATACTTTCATTCAGTGTGTTGAAATCTATTTATTTCTTTAATGCAGGTTCAAAGCCCATTGCTTTGTAGCTCACTGTTGATACCACATTTCCGACTTCTGATATTACTGCTCCCCATTTTCAGTTGTCTTATCACCAGTTCAATTCTTCCATCCTGTGCACAATCATTCCCCATGACCAATCTGGTTTGTTTGGGGGCTGGGGGGGGGGACTTCAACTGCCTGTCCATCAGTTTCTCCTGCTGTAGAGCTCAGTACAGAGGCAGGAGTTTCTGCTATCTCTACACTTGTACTTTTTATGTGACTGTTCATTATATTTGTTCTCACATTTCTCATTCAGCTTCTGTTTGGGTACCTAATGTATATGTGTTTGTACTTCAGCAAAATCACCATTGGGAAAATCATCAGCTACCTTCTGCTTTAAATCCCTTTTGGCATGTACAATTCCGACACTTTCTAGAGGCTATCTTCTCAATTGTCAAAACACTTCAAAAACTTTCCCCTGCTTTGGATGAATTCAGAGAAGCAACAAATCATTGGCAGAATATGTATTGTGCATGCAGAAGATCCCAGGTTCCAGTTTTTGGTATCTTAAGCTGAAAGCAACTCAGGTAGCAGAACCAAGAAAAAGCTTGCTGGAGCACTGTTGATTGGAACAAACAATGGATGGGATGAACCACTGGTCTAATTCAGTATAAGGCAGCTCTGTATGTTCATTTCCATGTTTAGGGATGGGCACAAACTGAACTGCAAAGCAAAATTTGTCACAAATTTTGCCCTGTTTGTGGTTTGTGAACCAAAGTTCATGATGAGTCTGCCATCATGAACTTTCACAAACTTTTAAAGCAGTTCATGGTGGTTCATGGATAGAACAGAAAGCAGTTCCTTAAATGACTGCTTTCTGTTCCCTGCAAATGCTACAAAAACTGCTGAGCAGCTGTTTTGGGCTTTCTTGTGCAGTTCCTTTACACTTTAAAGGGACTGCACAAGAAAGCATGAAAAACAGTTTTCCATCACTGCTCAGTTGTTTTTCGCTCTTTCTGAAAACTCCATTTAAAGTGACTGCAGTCCTTTTCACTGGAGGTTGTGGGGCCATGAACCACAAACCAATTTGGTTCATGAATGAACCTCCCAGTTCAATTCAGTTTCTGGTTTGGTTCTTGGTTTGGCCATGAACCACATTTTTCCAATTCGTGCCCATCCCTATCCATGTTCTCCAGTCAGCTTACCATCAAGTTTAAATTGGTTTACATTTTACAGTGTTTTTTTTCTTGCAAATGCTGACAATTACTGGTTGCCAAAACTTGTTGGTGAATGTTGTCCAATTCCAATTTTAAAGCTACAATAAGATACACAGAATTCTTCTCTTGTTTTTTGTGGTCAGAGTTTGGTTTGGAAAAACAATTTCCAGTTTTCTAACTTCAACTCAACTTGTGGCTGAGTTAAATCATGGATGAATGTGTTCTGGGCAAAAAGGTCTTTGGGAGATTGAAATGCTGACCATCCATCCACTTCCCCACATGCTTTCCTTATTACTGCCTATTGACTGGTGGTCAATGACCCAATGAGATGCTTCATTGATTTTTATAGATGACAGATAGATAGACAGATAGATAGAGACACACATACATATATCTTTATCATTTTTCCCCTCTTTCTGCTAACAGTGAAAGTGTCATGCAGCCAATGGTGTATGGCTACATGAACATAGAACAAGATGGGTAGCCATGTTAGTCTGTCAGTAGCAGTACAAAAGAGCAAGAGTCCAGTAGCACTTTAAAGACTAACAAAATATGTGGCAGGATATGAGCTTCCGTGAGTCACTGCTCACTTCTTCAGATTCAGCTAGAATGAGAGTCCATCTTTCCTATTTATTGGAAAGTGGAGTGCTTTCAATGCCAAATGACATTAGCAGGCAAATAACAATAGCAGGTGAATGACAATAGCACGTGTAATTGGATTTAGGTGAGATATGCAGAGGGGTAATAGGCGTGGAGAAATCAGCATTGGTAATGAGACAGGAAACCGAGGTCTTGATTCAGTCCAGGTGGCTGCTTCTTCTTCTTTTTAATCCAAAGACTGACAGCAAACTAAGAGCTAGATGCTGTACTGTACATTGAAGCTTTATGATGATCATTGGTCTGTCAAAATCAGTATTTTCTCCTCTGACTGCTAGCAGCTTTCCAAGGTCTCTGGTTGAAGTCTTTCACATTCTAATTGGAGATGCCAGAAATTGAACCTGGGACTTTCTGCATCGAAAGCAGATGCTGTACCACTGAGCTCCATCTCCTTTCCACCAAGATGCTGTATAGAACTCTGAAATTACACAAGCTTTACCTAGTGTGGAGAGAGAGTAGACAGGTGGCTGGGACAAAGGTGAGAAGAAAGGAGTTTATTAGCAATTGATGGCTATTAATAATACATCATCAATGGCACTTTATAGGGAAGGTTCAGTTTAAAAAAATAACAGTCCCCTGCCCTGAAGATCTTACAATTGGTTGGACACTCAAATAGAGGGGAACAGGAAAGCAGAGACATTATAGGTTTCATCCCTTCCATGAAGATGAAGGGAGGTTCAAGCTCACCATTCAGGGCTGGACTGTGGGTTTGACTCAATATGGGGCAGTAAATGCACAGCTCATGGGGAGGACATGGACCACCACTCAGGCAGTTTAAAAACCCTCCTTACCAATTGCAAGTTAAAGCAGTCATGGTGTAGGGTATTTGCACTGAGGCTCCAATGCTAGGGTAGCAGGGTCTTGTCCTCCCCCTATGGAGTTTTCCTGATGATAATCAGTCCTCAGTCCAAGGGTAGTTGCTCTATAGGGGGAAATACATGGACAATCTGTAAGATGTGTGATGTTACTTGATTCTTCTGGCTGATTCCTTGCAGGGCTGGCATCAGCATACCCCTAAGTGCTGCTACTGCCCCCTTTGTTCATGTGGCTACTCTGCAACCTGGCTGCTCCCCAGCACCACTAAGGAAAGGGCATGCAGGTGATTCACATGGCTGAGAGTATGGTTGGCAGATGAGCTCACTGTGGAAGGCTGCATGGTTCAACAGTGGTGGAGGGCCTACAGGTGGGTGAGGAAGTGCATGGAAAGTGTAGAGGGCCCCCCCTGAGCACTCCCTAAAACCCTCCTAAATCCTGGAAGCAGCCCTGCAGGAAGTACAAATAGAACTGCTCCCCTTCTAGAAGAGGAGGAGGAGGAGGAAATTGGATTGGATTTATACCCCGCCCTTTACTTGGAGTCTCAGAGTGGCTTACAATCACCTTTCCCTTCCCCTCCCCACAACAGACACCCTGTGAGGTAGGTGGAGCTGAGAGAGCTCTTTCAAGTATTGCTCTTGAGAGAACAGCTCTGAGAGAACTTGTGACTGACCCAAGGTCACACCAGCAGCTGCATATGGAGGAGTGGGGAATAAAACTGTTTCTCCCAGATTGGAGTCTGTGTTCTTAACCACTACACCAAACTGGCTCACTTCACAGCATGATTTTCTCGCAAATATTAAGGGTATCACCCATCCTTTGCAGGTACAGACTAATGCTTTGCAGGTACAGACTAACTAATATGCACAGAGGAAATCAGCATAACATTCAGTTTCCTGTTGGCTTGGAGCATGTCTTAGACCAGTGTTTCCAATAATACACTCTTAAACATTAGTTATGTATGCTAATACAATTACTTTTATACTTGATTATAGTATCTAAGTATACAAAATATTCACAAAATATACAACCTAATCATACAATATCTTAATGTTATACAATAACACGGTAATACAACAAAATATCAATTGCTGCCAACAGCCAGAAGATACTAGTGGAATTCCAAAACATGTGCTGTTAACAGTCAAAAGAATGTAGAGCTTCTTGACAAAGCAGCCGGCTTATGCTTGGTTTTGTCTCTTAACTTCCTCAGAAGCAACTTAACTGGTATTGTGTATAAATTTTCTTTCTGTTGTAATGTTATTTTCCTGGTTTCCAAAGACTCTTCTCAAGAGTTGCTACATTTAATATAGGGACTAGCCCTTATTTCCTTAAACCAAGCATAAGCCGGCTATTAACCACTACACCAAACTGGCTCAGTTCATAGCATGATTAAGGGTATCACCCATCCTTTGCAGGTGCAGACTAATATGCACAGAGGAAATCAGCATAACATTCAGTTTCCTGTTGGCTTGGAGCATGTCTTAGACCAATGTTTCCCAGCCTGTGGGTCAGGACCCAAAAGTTGGTCACAAAGCCTCTGTAATGCTGGCTCTTTGTAATGCTGGCTCTCTTGCCCAGAGATGAACCATTTGCTTGGAGTTCATAGCTGGGGGCAGCTGCACCCTTTGAGTGATGTTTGTTGGTTTCTCAAAACATCTGGTTGGACACTACAGAAAATGGAATACTGGAATAGATGGGTGTAAAGGTCGTACTTTGCCTAGAGTGCAAAAAAAAAAGCCACAACCTTGGGCCAGCTCTGGATGGTTCACCATACAAAGTAAATTTAGACTTGTGGGTCACCATACCAAAAGGATTGGGAACCACTGCCTTAGGTTATCCCCTGAAAGGAGGTCAAGGAACTGGAATCTAAGCATGAAGAGAGAGCTATTTCAGTGGAGGAGGAAAGAGTATTGGAGGTGTGCAGATCACTGTTGTTTTTAAGAATGACTTGGTATGGTGGGCAGGAGGAGGGAGAATAGATTTTTATTGAGTCCTCTTCTAATTTCTCCTTGCCCACATGGATATCCATCATGCTGTTAGGTTCCAAATCCTAAATGTAAAACTTTTCATAGGTTTGGTGGAGCACTAGTTTACAAAATCAATATCTGAACCTTGTTAGTAAGGAGTTCATTGATCTATCTTTCCAAGTAGCTGGGTAAGAGCCATTTCCATTGGCTCCATTTCTTCTATATTTTGTGGAAATGAGAAGATATAAGATCTCACCAGAATTTCTATTATTTTAATCCTATCCCAATCTATGACAAGGGAATTGGTCCTTTCCGCATTTGGATCTCATCCCTGGTTTTATCAGAGTTCAACTTTCATCACAATGCCTTGCATTTATCCTTGGTTATAACAGCATCTATTTAACCCGGGACAAGTGTGGGGCAAAACCGGGGTGACCTCAATGTAATGTGGAAACAAAAAATACCCCGAAATAATTACAGGGATGAACTTGAGTGTAGTATAGAATGTTAAAATACCTCAAGATAATTACAGGGGTGAACTCGCATGTAATGTAGAATGTAAGTTTGGGGACAGGGTTGAACCAGGATTTAAGGTCTAGTGCAGGAAGGACCGGAAACTGCCTCATCCACTGAAAATTTGATAGGACTAGCTTAGATCAGTGCAGTTCTGCAAGTGACCCTCCTAGTTCAGACCTGCTACTTTAGCATTCCTATAGCTGAAAAACATTTTCCAGTTGCTAATTGAATGTACAAACATGAATGCCCTTTAACAGATCAACGTCTGTGGCAGCAAACCCATTCTAAAAGAGTTGACCTTCTCTGCCACTTCTCTTAGTCTTAACCATTATTCTTAGGAGACGAAATTCTAATTAGAGTATCTCATTTCACTGAAAACTGTAAGATATAGAGAGGCCAGGTACAAAGATCAGACATTTCCTTAATTCCTGAACTGTTTGATCAGGCATACCACTTTCACCCTATCTTTAGAATAGGAATTAACCTCCAGAGTGAGATGTTATTCAAATGGTTCCCTGTTGTTATAATGCATAATCCAAAGAGCCCTGTTAAGGTGTGTTGATAGCCTTGTACCTATTTTGTGATGGGTTTTTCATACTTTCTGAACAACCTTGACCTTCTGCCATATCAAAAGTGACCTTGAAAGAGTTTTAAAGCCTCTTTGTGACAAGCACAAAGGTTTTGTTTCATACTGAAAAGTCTGGCTAACCATGTATCACAGGGGAACAAATTTCATATTAACAATGAAATTCTATGGAGGGTTACACCAGTTTAAACCCACTGAAATCAATGTTCTTAGACTAGTGTAACTCTGCATATTGTGTTACCCAAATGGCCTACATGTGTATAACCCTCAGTGCTTGGAGCATCCCTCTTATGTGAAGCACATACACATGTATTCCTGGGCATAATGTTATTAAGGGATCACTGTCTAGTGTATACCAGGGTCCAAAATTTGGGTAGTGCTTTCTTATGGGAATTGGGAGTTCCCCAGAAATAAACAGGCAGAAAATAGAATAAAACTGAAAACTTTATTAGGAAAAGTAATAAATAGAACAGCTGAAAACACACTGAGAAACTGAACATGCATGCAAGTTAGGCTATTCTTATACATGAATATACTGTGACTAGATATAAATTTTGGCAATTTAACAATATAAAAAAGAGGTCTTTCATATATTCAAGAAAATATTTTAATGAAATGCTTCATATTTATGCTTGTGGTTTTTTACATTTCACATCACAGCTTCTTGTTCCTAGTATGAGTGATGGCTTGACTGCATAAGCAATCAAAATGGTAGCTTGGGGGAAGAATTATTTTCAAGCACACAGTCTGGTGTGCCTCAGAATCCCACTCAGGGTTGCAGAGAGTACTCAAGTATAGTCCTCAAATCATAAAAGCTGTGTGAATTCTGAACATTTTCCCTGTCATTCTCTGCAACACTGTAAGGGATCCTTGGATGTACCTATCAAACCATATGGAAAAAGAACTTAGGGAAGCCAAACATCTTGGTGATCTGCCTTATTACCATATGGGCAACTCTGGCATGCTTCAGATTCCAGTTAACTGTCTTGTGCAACACCATTATCATGTGCCACAAAAGCATCTGCGTGAACTGTAAGTTGCACCATAACACAGATACCATAGAAATAAGGAGCCCAAAAAATCATTTAAAGAACTGCTATGATTTTTGTGCAAGGGCACATCATCCATTCAAATAGTCTGTTGAGACTCATCTTACTGAAGCTAAACCTAAAGTATCTGTTATTGTAAGGAATGCACACTCATTGTATATGTATCCCTTTCACTATCTCCCTCTTGTATCTTTCTTATCCCCTTTATGGCAAATGGCAAACCGTAAGATTTGCTTGCCTTTTTATACTCTGTAAGGTGCTGTGCAGGAATGTAGAATAGTATAGCACAGCATGATTGCATCAAATCTCAGAAGCTAAGCAAGATCAGTACTTGGATAAGAGACCACCAAGGAAGAGGAAGGCAATGGCAAACCACCTCTGCTTAGTTACTTGCCTTGAACACCCTATGAGGTCGCCACAAGTTGGCTGATTTGACAACACTTTAAACACACACAAAC